CATCATCATCATCATCATCATCATCATCATCATCATCGTCGTCGTTGTCGTCGTCGTCGTTGTCGTCGTCATCATTGTCATCATCATCACCACCACCATGGTCAAAATCATCATCATCAGATTCATCATCATCATCATCATCAGCAGCAGCAGCATGAGCATCGTCATCATTATCATCAAAGCCATCACCAGCCTAGGCATCATCATCAGCATCTCCTGTATCACCATCATCACGATCATCATCATCATCATCATCATCATCATCAGCAGCAGCATCATCATCATCATCATCGTCATCATCATCGTCATCATCATCACCATCGTCATCATCATCATCAGCAGCAGCAGCATCTAGAGTCGGACCTAGGCCAGAAGAGCATCCCTCAAGAAAATGAGACCCTCCGCCGACCAAAGCGCACAGAACATCCAAGGGCACCCTCCCAAGGATGCACAAGATCATCCAACAAACACGAAGAACACTAGGGTGCCCTCCCTGAACCGATCTCGATAGTATGCCTCGGCCAGACTGTGTCATCACCCTCCATCATCAGCAGCAGCAGCAGCATCCCCAGAAACATATGCATCACTACCAGCTGCATAATCGTCAGCATCGTCAAGATCATCGTCATCATCATGCATCATCATGATCAGCATAACCAACAACAACAACAGCAGCAACAACAACAACAACCACAACGAAAACGACAACGACAACGACAACAACTACCATAATAACAATAACAACAAGAATAATAACGTCATCATCATCAGCATGATCTGCATCATCACCATCAGCAGCAGCAGCAGCATCATCCGTCTCCACAATGATGTCCCACTGTTCTCCGCCCCTGCTGGTCTCGTCGTCCCCTTCACAATTACTCAATATGAATACTACTCTCCCTCTTTCCCTGATGACGTCTTTTGCGTATTCGCCCCCCCCGCGTACTGTTTTTTTACACACACGATTCCCCGGAGTTGGGTTTTCGCCTGCGTCTTTTTTCAAAATGCTGCTCTCGCTGAGGCGCCGGCCTCACTTCTGCTTCCGAATCGTGCTCCCGCTGCAGCGTGGGCCTCATTTTCGGATCGGTGTTTTGCCTCCGTCGTTCAGGATGGCGTTCTCGCCCCAGCGCGGGCCTCTTTCTCGCGCGCCCATCCGCCCGCCACCACCGCGCCGCACCACGCCCCGCCCCGCCGCACGCACACCCACCGCCACTTCCACCCACCAACGCACGCACGCACGCACGCGCACCACCACCGCGCACCGCCACCACCACCGCACTACCCACCCACCACCACCACGCTACACCGCGTCACACCACATCACACGCGCGCACACCAGACACACGCACGCACGCACGCACGCACGCACGCACCACACACACACACACACACACACACATACACACACACACAACACACACACACACACACACACACACACACACACACACACACACACCACACCACACACAAACACACCCACACACCACACACACACACACACACACACACGCACACACACACACAAACACACACACACACACACACGCACACCACCACCACCGCCATCACGCACACACGCACCTGGCCCACCACCAAACCACCAAGACGCCACAAAACGTCACACCACAGCACACGCGCACACACGCACACACACAAACACACATACACACACCACCACCACAACAACCACAACCACGCACACACACACACACACGCACGCACGCGCACCACCACCCACTACGCACACGCGCGCGGAGCCACAGGTCCGCTACGACACGCGTCCGCGGATAGAGAAAATCAGCGCCATGGTAAGGGATGAGAGGGAGGGGTAGGATGTCAGATGTTGACGCGAGCGCACCTAACTTGTCGCTACCCTCTCGCCCTCCCCCTCAACCCTGGGGCCCCCTAGAACCCCCGACCTCCCCCCCCCTGGCACTATCCCGTACAAGTATAGAGGACCCCTGATACACCCTGAAACCTCCTCTCTTCCTAATCCTCCTTCTCCTGCTCCTCATCCTTCTCCCTCTCCTCGGCAGAATCATGTTGCGAACTCCCGAAACTCCCAACTGTACAAAGGTTGTACCGATGGATAGCGGCTCATTTTCGAAATGGGGCTCTCGCAATAGACTTCCGCAATTCAAACGACCAGAACCTTCGGAAATGTGCACGGGAGGATAGCTGATCCTTTTTCGGAACGGGGCTCACGTCGGACACTTCCTTGAATTTGTTCATCATACATCTTTGTGCGTCCCCTGGATGGGGCAATAATCGCCCCACCCTTGGATCCGCTGGGGGTGTTGGGCACGTGCTGTCGGAACGGGTGGAGGGGGGGTTAGGGGAGGAGGAGGAGGGGGGGAGGAGGAGGAGGAGGAGGAGGAGGAGGAGGAGGAGGAGGAGGAGGAGAGGGAGGAGAGGAGAGGAGGAAGGAGGAGGAGGAGGGGGTGGAGAGGGGGGAGATGGGCAGGCTCCGTCGGAAGGTCGGCCGCCCACCCCTCGAGGAATATCCCGCCCAGGGCATTCGAGCCAGAACGATTGAGGAAGGCTGGCCGCCCTTTGCGGCGGTCGGCGCTTCGCCTCCCCCCCTCGCGCGCCGCCGATGCTGCGCATCGTGCCTACTCTTTCCTCGGGGGAGGCGGAGGAGGTTGGAGGAGGAGGTTGGAGGAGGAGGGAGGAGGAGGAGGGAGAAGGAGGAGGAGGAGGAGGTTGAAGGAGGAGGAGGAGGAGGAGGAGGTTGAAGGAGGAGGAGGATGAGGAGGAGGAGGCATACGTCGATCGCCCCGAGGCACGGCGGGAGGGCCTCGTCCGGACAGCAGGCCCTTCGGGCGCGGGTCGCTCAAAGCGGGCGCGGGCCCGCAGCGGAGCGGGGACGCCTGCGGGGACTTCGTGCGGAAGGGGCCCTCGGGACTGGAGGGCGTGCCCGTCGGTCAGCCGAGGCAAGCAGAAGCACGAAGCAGGAAGGCGTCGAGAGCAGATTGGGCTCAAGGGGCCCAAGGACACACACCTAAATACACACATATAAAAGGATGCCCTATAGTTTCCCATATGTTATGGATGTTCGTCTTCCCCCCCCCCCACACACACACTTCCAGATTTTCCCACACACACACACACACACACACACACACACACACACACACATATATATATATATGTATAGATATACATGTATATACATATGTGTATATATATATGGGGGATCGACGATTCATTGTGTCCGTGTTTTTTTCCCTCCTGATGGGTGTCCGCCCCCCCCTAAAGAGGGCGGAGAAGGCGAAGCCACTCGCTCGCTGGAATGGGAATTCGCTCGAAGGTCATTGGAATCTGGGAATCCAGAAATACCAACCTTTCAGCGACCGATGGGTACAGGGACTCGTGCGGAAGGGTTCTTGGGACGAGAGGGTGCACTGCAGCATCGTTGATGCATCCTGGGCTCACTCTGGTCTTAAATCGGGCGTGTCCCCCTACAGGGGCATGTTCGAAGAAAAATAACGAATACTCGAAAAATACTCCAAAACTGTCCCCCAACAAAAAAAAAAACAAGAAATGGTCCCCATGGCTATTTTGAGTAGTTTGGAATATTCCTCATGCAGAGGGACACGACCGACTTAACTCTGGTCCTCTCCCTCCTCCTCCTCCTCAAATCCTCAAATCCTCGACCCCACGAGAGACACGCAGACAACGTCGCCAGAGGGGCGGCAGGGGCCCCGCTCGCGAGCCAGCGCGCCCACTGGACGGCGGCCAAGGTTTCGAGGAGCGTCGGCATCGACAATCCATCCCACCGCCTTCTGTTTCCAACGATCGTTCCTCCGTTCTCCCCCCTCCCTGCTCCTCCTACCCCGTCTCCTATGCCTCATCCTTCCTATCATCATAATCATCATCGTCGTCATCAGCAACAGTAACATCATCAGAATCCCCCTCCTCCTCATCATCATCACCATCCTGCTTCAATCCCCCTTTCCTCCTCATCCTCCTCCTCCTCCTCCTCCTCCTCCTCCTCCTCCTCCTCCTCCTCCTACTCCTACTCCTACTCCTACTCCTACTCCTACTCCTACTCCTACTCCTACTCCTACTCCTACTCGTCCCTCACCACCTCCCCCACGGAAGAGAGAGGAGGGGAAAGAGAGGATGCGGGAATGGCGAAGCGAGGAAAGGAGGAGGAGGAGGAAGGCGAGGAGGAGGACGAGAAGGAAGGCGATGATGGACAAGGGAGGGAAATTGACGAGCCCGTTCGAATGGGAGGGGAGGAAGAGGAAAGAACTCCAAGCACAGGTGAAGACGAGGACGAGCCAAAGGACAAAGAGAAGGAGAGGGGCAGGCAGGGGAAGCGGGCGGGAGGAGGAGGGGGGGGCAGGAGAATGAAGAGGGGGGGGGGGGGGAGAGAGGGGCAAAGAGGAGGCGGCGAAGGCCGGAGAAGGAGGAGGAAGGAGGAGAAAGCAGGAGGAGGCAGCAGGAGAAGGCAGGAACAAGATCGGGTCGGATGGGCGGTCCACGAAGGAAGGGTCGAGCCCTTGCTGCCGGGCGAGGGCCCGGCCCACGAGCTGCGGCCCTCCGCTGCCGCTCCCATGCCAGCATCTGCTCTCTCGTCTGAACCATCTCCCGGCTCCGCTCCTCTACCATCGCGCCTCCTCCTCCTCTCTCCTCCTACTCCTCATGCTCCTCCAAACTCCTCATCCTCCTTCTTCCCACTCCTCCTCTCCTCCTCCTCCTCCTCCTCCTCACTCCCCCTCCTCCTCCTCCTCCGCCTCCTCCTCCTCCTCCGCCTCCTCCTCCTCCTCCTCCTCCTCCTCCTCTTCCTCCTCCTCCTCTACTATCGCGCCTCGTTGCTTCTCTTCGG